ACAGGAGCATCAGTGAAGCCCTGTGTTGGGGCTGGGGGTGGGGGGGAGTCTCCATTTTTTTTCTTCCTGCAGCCTCAGAGGATTCAGTTTGGAGGCCTGGTCGTTCCAGGGCCTAGTTCACTGTTCTAGTTCTTCTGGTTCTTTTAGTTTGGAAGCCCAGGGATCTTCACTCTGTTTTCACAGCCGGTCAGAATCTCACTGCCACATGAAACACATCACTGAGGGTCCTCTCTCCTGCTGCTCCCTCGTTCTAGTTTCCAGCGGTGTCTCTGTCCATGGAAGCACTGTCTCCATGTGGTCTGAGCTTTTTTATTAACATTTTTAAAATTTCCCCTTAATAACTCATTATGTTAAGTTAAAGGAAGATAGAACAACAGAGAGGCAGAAAACAAAAAAAGAAAAACAAGCATAGTGTTAAAATGTTCTCCAGTAATGACTGAATGTCCTTAACATCTGCAGCTCCCTTCCTCACTCTCCTCCCCTTTAATGGAAATCTGCACGTTCTCTTCCTGTATGTAGGATGTTCTGAGGGGTACACATAGGTTGAGAGAAGATCTGATTCTTTCCTTCAATCAGTTCTTTCCCTACCAGAGCTTTATTTTATCTCTGAATCTAAATAGCACTAAATTATTTTTAAAAGTTAGACCTTTTCCAAATTCACTCTAAAAATACAAAAGAGGGAAATGTAATATCCTTCCTTTTAATATGAGGATACCTTAAAAGTTTATGGAAAGATTCATATTATCTTTTAATTCTACTTTTTCACAAACTTTTTGAAGTACGTGCATATGTTCTCAGGTGTGAGAAAGCAACCTGGTATCTGGCTAACTGGAAATTCTAGTGCTTTTGCAAACATCTGAATGCTTCTTATATTTAGATCTGGGCACTTGTGCAGACTCAGGTAATTTTTTCACATTTTACATATCAGTTGTCTGAAATCCTGTGTTATGGTCTTCTACGTCTGTAGCAAGGTTTAGGAACTCCAGAGTAGCAGAGGTGAAGGAAGAAAGCTATATTCCATTCTCGGCATCTAGACCTCACCCTGCTGACTTTAGGTGCCCACCACTTAGCAACATTTTCTTGGCTACACTGCCTGAAAAGAGTTTATGGTCTTCTACGTCTGTAGCAAGGTTTAGGAACTCCAGAGTAGCAGAGGTGAAGGAAGAAAGCTATATTCCATTCTCGGCATCTAGACCTCATCCTGCTGACTTTAGGTGCCCACCACTTAGCAACATTTTCTTGGCTACACTGCCTGAAAAGAGCTCTGTCGCTGGCAAATCTATCCCCATCCTTCCCTTCCTTTGTCTCTTATTTTGGTCATGAGGTAAGTGGCTGAGCCTCTGTGCTGAGAGTCCATGATGAATAAAGAGCTGTGATCTTCTGTGATGTTGTAGATATTGCTCTTCAATTCTTTTTCACATTTAAGGTTATGTAAATCAGAGAGACTCTGCTTCTGCTAGCATTTTCCCTGAAGCACAGTGTTACTGTACCTCAGATTGGAGCTAACTTTCTCCTGCAGATACAGGGTCTGGGTAGGACTGGACTCTACCTTCCCCTGTCCTCTCATTTTTGCTTAAAAAAACCCTACAGAGTCATGGGTGATCACTGGGGAATCTGGGTACTTGTAAATTGGTACACTTCCCAGCTAGCACATCATCAAATCACATTGTCTGGAACCACAGAAATGCTTGCCAAACTTCTAATCATCTTAAGATTTTTCTCTCAATTCATGAAAATATTTACCAGGAACATTCTCAAAGAAGGGAATTTTAGTCTGGGAGAATACAAGTAGCTGTCCCATTTACATGGAAGAAGTCACATTTACATTGTTTCCCTTGGAATTTTCTTCTATTCTTTCTCAGGTATGGTGATTTCAACATTTCAGGTAGGTACCAGTGGGAATATATCTATTTAAAGGGGATTAATGATTTTCCTGAGCAATGATAGGCATTGTGGCAGGTCAGAAATAAATGTTGAGTGTCTGCTACCTAAAGTTCATTCAACTTCACTCTATGTGGATGTTAATAAAATGCACAAAATAGAATATGTTAATTATGCAGTTGGGGAGACAAGAAAAACACAAAGTTAACAAGTTCTAGGGGGAAATGCATGATTGGGATCAGCACTTAGTACAGAAGTGAAGTAGAGGAGCAAAGTGTTTGTAGCTGAGACAATAGCTTAATAACCAGCACAGTGATAAGAAAAATCATGTGATCATCTCTATTGATGCGGAGAAAACAGTTGACGAAATACAACTCAGATTCATGGGGGCCCTGGCAGCAACAGCTTGCAGCAACAGCCTCCAGCAGTGTAGCAGCTCCTTTGCAGCACCACCTTCCTCCCCTGCCATCCTGGGGGTGGGGAGCATTGTGGATCAGAGCCATTCATCCTTTATACTTAAGTCTGATAAACCAGGAACACCTGGGTGCAAATCAGACAACCCAGGAACACCTGCATATCCACACACATCCACATGAGACAATAGCCAAGCAATATCTGGGTGCATGTGCACAATTATATTTAGATCAAATGTTCAGCAAGATTCCGAACAGCTGAGGGATCCTGACCATTTACCTTCACTTTCCTTGCAATATGTTAAATTTTAGATGTCAATTAGACATCCAATGTAGATGTTACATAGGTTATGGTATAGAGGAACTTGGTTCTCAATGGAGAAGGCTCTGATGGAGATATGAGTTTGGGAGTCATCAACGTGTAAATGGTAACTAAAGCCGTCTTCCTGGATGAGATCCCTTGGAGAGTGAGTATAGACAGAATATACGTTTGAGGAGTGAGCCCCGAGACAACAAAATATCCAGAGGTCAGCAAGAGGATGAGCCAGAAAAGGAGACTGAGGAGGGGTGGATTGTGAGGTGGAAGCAAACAGGAGAGTGTGGCAGCCCAGAGTTCAAGCAAAGATGGTGTTTAAAGGAGAAAATAGCCATGATGTCAAATTCTTCTGAGTCAGTGGGATAAGAAATGGGAATGGATCATTGGATTTGTGAATGTTAAAGTCATTGGTGACCTTAGCAGAGTGATTTCAATGTAATGGTAGAGACAGAAATCTAACTGGACTGGATTCAAGTAAGAAAGGGGTTAGAAAGTAGAGATAATGAATTAAGAAAAACTTTTAAATAGGTTATGTTAACAGAGACAAGGAATAAAAAGATTGCAAAGCATTTTACCCATTGAAACTTTAATTCCAGTTCTATGAAGCTGTCCTAATGAAATGATGAGAAATTTAAATTAAAATGTATATTTAAAAATGTTAATGATAATGTTATTTAAAATGATTAAAAATTGGAAATAATCAAAATATTCGAAAACAAAAACGTTATAAAATTAAGTGTTAGGTACCTATGTGGTGGAAAAGTAGATAATTAATTCAAACTATTAATGAGAGGCATTTTTAATGATAAAAATTAGACTGTTAATAAAAGGGCATAAGATTATTCCTGCAATATGATGTAAGAATATGCAAAATGTAAAACAAGTAAATAAAAATAGAAACAAAAAATAAAAATTCCCTGAAACATTAATGTAGACAAAATCCAATAGTTCAGGAAGTAAAAATGTTCAACTCTTTCATATCTTAAAGACTGAATTTCTACATGCATTCCTAGTGCCCATGGGGTAGAGTTATGTAGACAAAATCCAATAGTTCAGGAAGTAAAAATGTTTAACTCTTTCATATCTTAAAGACTGAATTTCTACATGCATTCCTAGTGCCCATGGGGTAGAGTTGCACTAGGTCTTCACAGACATTGTGACTTCAGCTTTCTCTGGCCGATGCTCTGAGAGAACAGAAGAAGGAGCTGCTCCTGAGGCACTAGGGCAAGGTTTGGGGACAGGCAGCAAGTGCTTGGGGAGCACTGTGCCTCCACTGCACAGAAGTAGGTTCCCACATCTGCAGTCTGGGCCGCTGTGATGTGCAGGGAGCTGTCCTTTCTTGTTTCTCCAAACCGAGCTGCCAGTCTCTCCTGCTTCTTCACTTCTCCACCCTTCATTAATATCATCAAGGCGACAGGACTTCCCCCAGGCCTCTGTTTATACCACTGTAAGCTGTTTGAAGTGCCTGAGGAATTGCAGTAAGTGGTGAAGTTCTCTCCTTCTTGTATATGCAGAAACTGAGGAATCTGCTTTACCTGTTGTCCATTCACCCCTGTTCAGAATGACAATGGGAAGCATCAGAGAAGGTCTGATTAGATCTCTATTCCCTGAGCTACAAGGGTCTCATTCTGCTTTTCTATTTTTCTCCTCCTTTCCATGTCTCCCTCCCCCTCCCCCTCTATCTTCCTCTTTCTGTCCCTCTCTTTTTAAAAATTATTGTTCCTCAAACAGAAAGTCCATCCCCTGCCTGCAGATACTTTTCTACTACTTTGGTTGGGTTTTCTGGAGGCAGTCAGGGAAGCCTCAAACTCACATGGCAATTGCATCCACAAGACCAGCACTGGCAGGGTGAGCAGCATCTCCCTCTCCTTCCTCTCCAGAAGGAGTTGCTGACTCTGATGCTCCTCAGTGGGGTCCCCTTGTACTAGCTTCTTCCAGACCCTAAAAACTAGTCATGGTCTACCACTGCATTTTGAAAAGAAGGGGACGGGGCTGACTGCATGTGAGACAGCCAATCAGACTATTTTGCCTCCCACTTCAGAGGAGAGTCTCTGTTTGCCCATCCCCCACCTGCAGACAATTCTCTACTATGATGGATTTTCTACAAGCAATCAGGGAAACCTCAAACTCACATGACAATTGCATCCATAAGATCAAGACTGCTGTGGTCGCCAGCATCTCCCTCTCCTTCTTCTCCAGAAAGAGTGTTGAATCTAAGTAGTTCTAAATGGGTTTTCCTTGTACTAGCTTTTTCCAGACCTCAAAAAATAGTCATGGTCTACCACTGTATTTTGGAAAGAAAGGGGATAGAGGTGACTGTATGTGAGACAGCCAATCAGACTATTTTGCCACCCACTTCAGAGGAGAGTCTATGTTTGCAG